AGGCAATCAGACACGATCGTACAGACTCCTTATGGTGTCTTTAGCTCCAGTAACCGCTCTGAAATGTCTTCGGCTTTGACTTCCACCTTGCATAATCATGCACAGTTAAGTGGAGTCACGAGAGGTAAAAAAATAAAATAAAAAAGGCCTCTGTTTTATGAAGCCTTGAAGGCTTGGCTTAGAAATCATTAGCATTCTTTGTGGACTTAGTCCTTTTTTTTTCACCACGTACAGTACTCTGCTGGGAGTCAGGTGCTTTTCACTACAGTCCAGGCTTCAGGCAGAGAGGGAGGATGGCTGAGCCCTTCATCTCCAGCTGTGTCCTATATAGTCTGTAACATAAGTGGAGGTTAATATTTCCCCCTAAATGACCTTTATTCAAGCGGATTACTTTCTGGAAACGCCATATTTCTACTAAAGCACTTTAGTCATAATGTGTTTTTGTTTTTTAGTTTTGGTTATTTCAGATTAGATTCCTGCCTCAATTGTGGAAAAAGTGTCCTGTCAGGCAAAAGTGGCAAACTTGTTTAATATTATATAAGAATAAATGCAATTTCAAATCTTTGCAAGGGATTATTAGGACTGGAATTAGAAGTGTGATCTAGGGGAGTAGCAGAAGGGTGACCTGGGGTGACACCAGCCCTCTCTGTTATCATTTCAGTGCAACGATGTCAAAATAATGGGATGAAGTATTAAAAAAAACAAACAAACAGAGCAATTAAAAAAAAAAAAAAACTACTGCGCATCATTACAAGGCTGCAGTGTTGCACACTGCGGCTCAGGAGAAAGTTTGTCGCCTACCAGTTGGAAGGTTGGTGGTTTGACCAACACAGCCAGGGAGCAAAGTACTGAACTGAAGGTGCATCTGTTGGAGTACGAGTGGATGTTGGATAAAGTGCTTCGGTACTGAAAATACTGCTTGTATGACTCTGTGAATGAGGCTTGTAGCAGAAACGCATAAGTACCCGTCCATTGTGATAATGCACGATAAAATCGTATCCACTGGAAGGTAATACAAGATGAGTTAGTGGGACTTCAACTCACTAACTGGTTAGAATGGGCCGTAAATTCCAGAACATGCAGCGTAAAAGACAAGATGAACCAATGATTGTTTAGGGTGTTGCCTGTGAATGACATCACTTCTGATGCACTGTTTTAACTGAAACACTCAAGGCTGCAAAAAGGTAATGTTTATGTCCATCTTTGGATACAGTCTTTAACCTGTTACTGGGGAATTACAGCTAAGTATAGCCATTTAGGTTTCAGCAAGAAGAAAAAAGGTTCCCGTGGTCATGTGAGAGAGTGCGCTGCGTTCCGCAAATCATCATGCTAAGCAGTTTAATGTTAATTCTATAATACCAAAACATAACGCAAGTTATGTCACAGGACTTTACACAGTAAGGTCAAGACATAATATTATGGGAAACCTAGCAAGTTGTGTTTAGAGGCAACACTGTAGTGAAGAAGAAGCCCCAGGTACCTGCACCGAGATGAAACTGAATCATTGAATGCAGTGGTGTCATATAAATGCACAGGGAGTGAAAAGATGGAAGCAAAGGAACTACAAAATTCATCAAAAAGGAAAGTTTGAAGCCTGATCTTAAGAGTGAAGAGGATGTCTGTCTCCTGAACTGGGAGCAGGTTCCTCAGGAGAGGGCTGAAGGTTTTGGCTGCTGTATTTAGATCATGTGGACTGAGGGATGCTGCTCGGGGTGAGCAGGCAGCCCATGTGACTGCATGTGGGTGGGAGGGTGACAAAGGTTTTTATCATCTCCAACCCTATTTTTTTTTACGCATTACTGTAAATAAGCATTGTAAAATAAGAGGGCCGTTTCTGTGCCGTAGTCTTCCTGTCAGGAGCACTTTCCTGTTTTTCAACCCACAAAACCGCCAAATTGTACTCCTGGCATGTCACTTTTCATACAGGGTGGAGCAGTTTGAAATGCTTTGTGTGTGAATGACACATGACAAACTGGTGAAAAAACATCAAAGCAGTCAGACATGCCGAATACAAACACGTGAATTAGTCTCTTCAGCTGAACGGAGCGGATCGGTGCAGTCTAACGTACGTGTTCAAAGTGGCTGAAGTCATGTGGATCAGTGAAGCAGAAAAAATTCCTGGAAAGGCAACACATGAAAGAGTGTTGGGGTGGGGAGTGACATTAAAAACTCAATACTGGTCATACAACTACGTTTTTGTGTCACATGAAAGAACAGAATGAAATGATCTGCAAAACATTTATTGCCAAAGACAAAGTACCAAATGTTAAACTGAGAAATGAGGCTGGTTTTCGAAGAAGAAAAGCTCATTTTGAATCGGATGCCGTGCTGCATTCTTTTAACAAGGTTTGACTGTTAAAGAGACTAACTGGTTTCCTCAGTTCCCAAATATCTTCCTTTCATTCCTTGGTTTCAGAAAGCTTTAAATGTTTCTGATTCTCTCATTACAGTCCAAACGTTACACCTCATCCCAAAAAGACAAACTAAAATTTTAAATCTTAAAACATTTATACAAGAGTAATGTTTGGATCCTCGGGTGTTTGTCTGGGCTTCGTTGCAGCCCCTTAGTTCACCCAGAAATTTAAATAAGCTGTTCTGACTTCTCTGCTTCTCTTTGAGAAACTGTCTTCTGATTATGAGGCTGGTCACCCTTTTAGAGGTTTCTGAGATTGAATTCATGCACGGCAAAGAGTAAAAAAAAAAAACTGGGATAAACTGAGTGTTTCGAGCAGTCTGCAGCTCACAGGGAATATTGTGCACACACTGACCTCATCATGAGAAACTTTGTCTAATATGAAGCTCCACCGGTGAAACAGGAGATACGTGACAGGAAGTGAGGAGAAGAATACATTCAAACTGCTGCAGATTAGAGCAATGTCTAAATGGCCTCAACAGTGTACAAGTGAACTTTGACCCTTAGATATTTCACTTGAACATCATCAGGCTCCTCAGCAGAGTGCTGACAATCAGATAGAGTCTTCACATTCGGTTCAGAGGCCTGCACTGTTTTTACTCTTCTTGTATTCTGTAGATCAAGAGGATCATGTGCCACCAACTCAGAAACCTTCTCTGGCTCAGCAGACAGCTAACAAGCATTCAGATCAAGGCACTGAGTGAACAGGCAGATTTATCCCAGCTGAACATCTCTGAACGCCTGCTGCTCAGTCGGGCTCACGGACATGAGCGTGTAACTAAAGCGAGTTCACATTAGCTTCTGCTTTGTGTGAGCCTGCATCACATGACTCCGTTGTCATGACCAGTCAGCATCCAGCACTCAGTCCTGATGAGATGAACACAAAGCAGCGAAAAGCTCCTTCACTCTGACGCCGCGGTGACGCCGGTTAAACCTCCGTCAGACTCCCAGTTTACTCTCCTCTCTGTCGTTCATGTGATTTCTCTGTTCTCACTACGACATCTCACATCAGCCCACAAGACCAGAGCGTAGCCGCCCCCCCGGGACATCTTCTTTGTCAAGCTTTATCCTCACAGGCAGCCCCGAGTCCAGACCAGGTGACTCAGACCGCTCAATGGGAGACGCTGTCTTCAGACTTCTGAGAATTAACTCTTTAAGGTCATTTTTGGGGACTTATGAGAAATATATTTGTATCGCTGTTTGTGTTCAGTTCACTGAACAGATCATTTTTATAGGCTGGAGGTTTTAGTGGTGGGAGTTTCTAATTACTTAGGTCCTGTTAGTCTGGTTCACTAGCTTTTACTCATGGATGGCAGGATGTTAAAATCCTAATCTGCTCAGCTGTGTTGGGTCAAATGCAAATATATTAAGAGATTAAATTAAAGATACAGTCCCTGGTTTTGTTGAAGCGTTCTGCAAATCCTTGAATTTTAAAAAGCCTCAGTTGTTTTTAAAATTCAATTTTCTTTATTTAAATAAAGAGAAAAAATGTAGAAAAACAAGGTCACAAAACAAAGAGATGAAATTTAAAAAAAAAAAAGTTTTTAAATCAGATCCTTCTGCCCAGTCCTGACCTTAGATGCTGTTTAGTACAATGAAAAAAAAAGAAAAAAAAAAAGCTTCAGATGCATCAACAGTTTTATTGTGAATCTTTTTTCTCTTTTGTCTTTTTAAATTCTGCGTTTTCATTTAAATTGATTAAAGTTCCCATTTTTAAAATATAAAAACCCCTGACTTCTAACAAAAGGAATGTTAGTAACTTTTTGCGTCAGCAACCATTTTCAATGATATTTAATTAATCAGTTTTTCTTTCTCCACTTTCACAAACAGTTCAAATCATTTTCTCTCTTTTGTTAAAAATAATAATAATTTTTTTTTAAAAAAAAGCCATTTTCTCTCATTTTTTAGTCATAAACATCCACCATAGAAGCTGTAGCGCCACAATTTTTGAGATTTTTTTTTCCTTTGGGTGATGAGATGTAAATGACGTTAACAAAGAACATGACGTTTTTGAAACTAGAATTTTGGGTTTTGTCCGAATCCTGTCCGTCTCGGACCTCGCTGACCCCTCCTCACCTTAAATCTGTGGCTTTGAGGCTCCCTGCTGTGATGAGTTAGACCCAGTGCTTTCCACATGACAGCCCCCCCCATCCCAGAAGAAAAAAGAAAAACTGCAAATATTCTGATAATTTATCACACAAAGACAGCATTAACATTAAAACATCTATATGCACATTTCAAGTTCTGTTTAGAGCAGGGGCGGATGTGAAGCAGGGGGGTGGGAGCG